ATGTCGGTAGTCAGCAAATTTGGTTCAAATTTGTCGCTAGTCAGTAGTTATTTTGTCCATTTGTCGCTAGTCGGTTAACCCCATTCAGACCCTGATCAAGGATAAGTATTTGCGGAAAGAGCACGGAAACAAAGTTTCTTTTACTTCGATATGAGCATTTATAAATTTCGTAGTGTAATGTTCATGGCGAATCTCTTTTGTAATATATGGTATACATCGTATAAGATTTTTTTCTATGATATCAGTCCATGAAGCTTAAGTTAAAACAGAGAAAGAACRAAGTTGTCTTACATGTAACCCTTTTTTCGGCATTGAAACTTCACAATGTATGACACTTTTCACACAAGAGCATCATCAACTCAACATGGGCAACTTTAAAACTGACTGTCTTACAATGACTTGTACTTAATGTAGATCCGTATGAAAACGATCTCGAAAGTTTCTCTACTGAGGTGTGTCACTCTATGAATTTACTTCTAGCGAGCTTTAAACCACGCTCAATGTCATAAACTAAAAAATATATATACATTGTATAAATTAAGAATTTTCGTTTCKACTCACTATTTGGGATGAACTTCAAGTAGATTGGCCAAATCTTGACCTGAGAACAAAGTTTGAATGGCACCTAATAGTGTTCGCCTGGTTCGCCTGGTTCGCCTGACCTGAAACAAATTACATTAAAAACTCTTTATTAAAATGACTTCTGACAAAATAGAATTAGAAAAGGAAGTCAATTTCGTCAATGTCAATATGTATATAAATACATTGATGTCCGGTAATCCTGGTAAGTTTGTGTCCTAAACCTACGGAAGCTGTCTGTTCATGAGCAAATAGACACAGATTTTTTTATCCGATTTCGTTCTTTCATTTCTGATTCAAAGCAAATTTAGCCTAGGTCTGAAGTAGATTTTTTCATCGAGAACTAGGAAATTTATATTTGTACTCATTCCACACATCTCAGACATGGCAGTTAGAAATTACATCTTGTTTCCCTTCTTTCCCTGCAGTCTTTTAATATTAAAATAACTCAGAAATGGCTACAATAAGCATACACTTAAGATTAAGATCAGACATTAGGACTAAGGATTAAATTGGTTGGAGATTATATGGGATTTTCTTATTGATACAAGAAAACATGTCTATCACGTTATCCAATTAAATGATAAGTTTCAAATGACCTCACTCCAAAACCAGGAAGTAGTAGGCACAAACGTATCCAAATCCTGGATTATAAGTCTCGAATAGCTCTACAAAGGTTTTTAATCTCAATGTTTTTTCTTCTTCTTCTGTTTCGAATTTCAAAAAAGTGAACAAAAAAAGATTACACGTAAGAAATAGCWGTGACCGAAWGGTACTCTGGATATTTTTTGAAGGATTATTGACGCATATCCTGAAGACACAAGTTKATTCAATATTGTATCAAGAGAATTATTATTCCGCTTCGAGARCAAGGGAGTTTCCTAATTTGGTTAAATCGACTTATTGGTTTACCAAAACAAACTATAATCCTAGCAATTATATAAAAATGTGGACCGTGTGGCATTTAGGAATACATGAACCTCAAATGTAGAAAAAGTTATAATAGTGCTTGGAAATGATGTTATTCTTGGGAAAAGACTCTTGGAAATAAATACGGAAAAAAACTTTGCTTCCTCACGCACGACCTTCGGGTTTATACTACCAACATCTGAGCTACAAGATCATACGGGATGAAGCCTGGGGTCTACGACAGGAAATTGAGATCTGGGGACAAGTGTTTTTTTGGATAAACAGTAAAAGTTTCCAGATATCGTTACATTATTATAGGTACGTGTAGCATGCGCATTATATAATGGTACGTGTGTCATTAAGATACTGACGGAAACAATCTTTTCTTTTTTCATGCGATATAAAGGCCATGTATGTGACAGAATTGGGATACCCCTATTTGACTAATAGCTCATGAACTATTAAAGAGCTTTTAATGTCTTTTTAATTATTCCTAATGCACCATAGTATTGAATTTTTAATTCTCTATGACAACGTTTTTSTACACAGGAACAAATTGTGTCGTATTAGAACTTCTTATCAGAACTTGTCGACCTAGAAAATCGTGACTGATTATTACACTAAAAATTCTCCTTAAGCAACATCACGCACCCTTTATAGAAAAAAAGTCTTCAAAAGTTTGTTTATTTCCAACTTACTAACATTGTTGCAATTTTAGTCTAGATTCTATATTAACTTCACTTTCGACATTCAGCAGATGCGCTTCAAATTCCAATTRCAAGTTACAGAAACGATAGAAGTACGAAATGAACGATATTTGTAAAGTATTTGAGATATGACGAAGAGAACACTCTATCGAGGGAAAGGGAGATCTAATACACTACTTACCAGTGATTTCCAGCACGTATTTTTATTATAGAGATAAAAGACCAAACACACGAACGCCTTTTATGCATATTTTTCAAAATTCACGGTCGTCTCTATTGTGTAGTGAGACTTTGTGTAGAATATAGCGATAGCAGTCCAAGCCATGATTTGCCCGTGCAAAATTTTGAATTTAAATTAGGTGCAAGATTGGGAAATCACTGTGAGTCATAAGTAAATTACGTAGAGTAATAACTCAAGAGACTGAGAGGCGAGATTTTACTGTTAATTGATTAAAAGCAAGAATTTAAATAAGTTTTCATGTTTTTGTTTTCATCGTATTGAAGCACGCAAGAGGACATCCTGACCCTCGAGGCAGTTGGATTAAATGACATTCCGGCTGACTTAATCACGAAATCACTTTAAAAAGCCAGCAATGCATGATGACATTTTCCATATTCAGATGCTTACGACGTAACCCGGAAGTGAATTTAAAACAATAGAAAACAAAGGAATGGAAACGAAGAGTTAAGATGGAAAATACCAAGGACAAAATTCCAGTGTATTTAGGAGAATTGCATGCCTGTATCAAAATGACCTTTCCTTTCTTCTTTTTAAAGACGTTTCCCTTATTGATTTGGCTAGCATTGGATTATGACATTTTCCATATAGAATGAAAACGAGGCCCAAGGGCCCTCCAGGGGTTAAGATGGGAAATACCAAGAGACAACATCCAGTTGGATCCAAGAAAGATTGCTTGACTGTAGCAATAGGACATGTTCTCTTCTGTTAAATTCCGTAAGAATATTTTTAAATGTATGTACTTTCCTATCAAATAAYTTTATATCATTCGCGCATGGTCCATGTGCATTTTAGTTTTGATCTTCCCTTAGCAAACATATTCCATATAAGGAAAACAAACAAAATGATCGTTTGTTCAGAAGTGTCTTCTCTATAATATCTGCAAGTTTCGAATATTTCTAAGCTGTAAAAGTCGAGAAAAGCGTTAATCCAAACAAGGTTAGATTACCATATATGGAACGTAAACAAAGGGCAACTTTTCTGAGGCAATTCTTGATATGCATTTTGCTTCCGGTTTTTAAACAGTGACAATGAAGAAGTGAGTTCGCAGTTCACTAGCATCTGTTGAATATTGAAACAATCTGTTCAGTCGCTACGATCTGAGATCCGGCCCTCATCAGTAAATCACTACAAATTGACAAAAGCGTTACAAAGTATCAAGCTGCGCTTCTTAAAATTCGTTTAAATTTTCGTTTAGCACAGGGAATAGGCTCATTAGCAAACACGGCGAAGATACTGATTCAAGAACGCTCACCTTGTTGTGTCTCAAAGCAGGCACCAAAAGCTATTCCTGTTTAGAATTTAAAGAATTTTAAAGAAAGGATTCGGATTCCATTTTTTGAATTTATATTATTGAAGCATTTTCTGTTCAGGAAATATGTTATTATTAAGAACCCGACAGACGAAATTGCGCCTAAAAAGAAAAACTTATCTTTAGTTCTGCAGAGTGAAAATGAGCAGTGTAAATACTCTGCAATTTAGAAATTTCATCGAAAAAAACCCAGCTAACTAGCTCTCTGAGCAAATAATCATTGACCATTTGTTCATATATTATTTCCCCGGTTTTAGATAGTGAAATTTCTAAGAAAAAACGGCAAAAGTAGAAGCATCTTTGTTTATGAGACATTCTGAGACGTTCTGCGGAAGAGCATATCTACAAACAAAATGGCAAACTATTTTAAAAGGACGACCTGAACTACTACAAAACGGCATTTTAAGATTGATTTAACCGGTACGATTGTCGAGTGCGGCTTGCAGTATACGACTCAAATGAGTGCCAAAATCGCGCCATGAAAATGGTCCCCGCGACTTACCTACAATAGTCGTAGACAATATGCGACTTGTGGATGAGTTTGAACCACAAAAAWATCGTCGTGGGAATCGGAGACTGCAAGTCGAACGCGACAACCGTACCGTGTAATTTCGCCTTTAAATGACCATAGATACTATGGAAAATATACTGTAGATGTATTTGAAAGAGAAAGTAGAAAACATATATACTACTTATGAGGACTGATGGCAAATAATATTTCATAATTGCTCTAGAGAGAACTTAAGAAAGAGAAGCTGGAAGTAAGCCTGTAACGAGAACTTTACTGACATGAGATTGACGAATTTCTAACCTATGAGATCATATATATTTTACTCGATTTGACTTACCACAAACATATGAGCGAATTCTGCTATTCGAAAAGCAATTACGACCCGCGCCATAACATACTCAAGACTGAAACTATCGCTTTCCATCTAAACCTCATTACCTTTTGAGCCAAGTCTAACAACTAATGTAAAAAGATACTGTCATCAACGCACAAAGCTCAATTCCATGGCAAAGAGACTCCTCCATTGATATATCTCAACACTTGGTTACTCATACTTTGAATTTTCTTTTTATATTTGGTTAATCACTGTGTTGACCCATGCCAGAGGCTATTTTGATGCTCCCGTCTCGTGGAGACAGGAAATCATTCAACTCATAACTAGATCTAGCTATTTACGGCTAAGTGCTTGTTTACAAGAGAGAAAATGGTTTTGTGAAGTAGTCTTGATAAGAGAAAGGAGTTTTCCTTTTCCTAGTTTTTAGCGGGGGAACTATTTCGTATGACGTTATGCGCAGTGTGAAGGAGTAATTGATCGTTTTCACCCACTCCCATGAGACTCACAAGATAAAAGGCCGGCGGCCATGTTGGGGGAATGAACAATAGATACTAATGAGAAATCCTTTGTTAAAGTTCCTCGGAGATGGCCGCTGTGACGTAACCTGCAAACGAAGAATAGGAAGAGAAAATCCTTGAAAGTTAGTGAAGATGTTCAACATTAGATATATCCCAGAATTTAATAAGACGAATATTATTTCAAACTTTGTAGAGTGTATTCCTGAGATCTATACAGATTTGTTTTGTTATTCTCGGGATACCTCATGCAGGATCAACTATTCAAATACTCATCAACTAAGTGCTCCACAGTTCATTTACCTTCTGAAGGTATGCAAGATAGGGTAATGTTTGTTTCAAGGGGCATTTATTGAAAAGTCTGATCTTCTTTTATGACAGCTAGCCCACCGTGGTATATACAGTATATAATATAATGGTTTTCAATAAGATACAAAGGTTAAAAAACAAAGTGTAAGTTTTGTTTCTGCGTGATTAGTTTTTTTTACATTAATTGATCCATCCTTTTAAAATGTTTTCATCAGATAAAGGCTTTTAATAGGCTATGCATCAGTCTATGATCGCAAAAYTGTCTCCATAGAGATATGTCCCAGTCGCACACTCCTATAGTAATCGCCTCCTGGTAAACATTAATCCTACTTTTTGATTTATGACTTCATTGAAATCCCCATGCTAATCTCCACAGAACTTCCTTTGACGAGCCTTCAGACACCATAATTAGTCAGTGACTTGAAATATATCAAAGAGTTGTTCTTGCGGGCGTGGTGAAGCACATTTCTTTACACCGCTGAAGAGCCAAGAACACTAACCTTGTTAACCGTTTGTCTATCTGAACTAACGTGTTAGCCTATTGATTTGGCAAATAAAAGCTACATATTCTTATATTTTCATATTTCGACTTTCGATTGCCAAGAAATGTGGACTCAAGAATCCCTGGAACCTCAGATTGAGCACGCCCCTGGATTTCATCTCGAAGCTCGACCATTTTGTAGTTCGGAAAGTTCTATTTAGATTTCATAGCTCAATTTTTGAAGGATTGAAAAACTGTGAATCTTATAGTAGAATTTTTAAAAATGCCTTAGGAAACCAAACGCGAAAGATTGGATTCTAAAGCTTGGTATCAGGAGCCAGTTCGTGAGGCTAGCAGCAATTCTATACAACTTCTTATGGTTTAGCAATTTCAAACTACTGATGCGATTGCTCACTTTCTTGTGCTAGTCTGGTGACTTATGCTGTGGTATTGAACTAAACAATACTCGTACCTGAGTATCATGCTCTAATCAAATATATTAGGTGAACATCTCACAATAGAAATGTTCTGATTCATTTGCGTCATTAGTAGTTCATAGCTTCTTATGCTTTTGATCATGTGCGCTTTCTATGATTATGATCGAGGYTTACGGACACAAATAGGCGTAGAAGTCATTCCAGCACCAGTTTTAGTGGAACTCCGTTTGAATTTGCTGCTTTATATAAAGGCTATAAGCTTTGAATGAAAAACTGCGATTCCAAATTAAAATGTACAACATAGCAAGGACAGTGAAAACTATAAGTATGGAGAAACTTTCAATTCAAGATAAACGTATGTCTGAAAGCCTTCAAAGCAACATTACCAAAATTTATCCTTTTTTCATTCGGAAAATCRYCTATTTAGAGAAATGGAGGAGGACAGTTTCATCCGTTTCGTTCTTTTCTCATTTTACAGTCTGCTTCGCTCAACTATATTCTGATCTTCATCGCATTTACTCGTTTGATTAATTTTGAACCAATCAGAAACATGCTTTCAACAGCGGAAATATTTCCAAGCAAGTATGCATTGCAATGGTTTTCGGATGCAATTTGGGTCTCTATAATATTCGCAAAAATAGACGATCGACAACGAACAAACAAGATATGCTTGAAATAAGATTTGAAGTATTAACAGACAAACCTACTTAATTAAAAAGACAACAAACTATAATATAAACACATGTCTGAGCCATACCAGTAGATCCAGAAATCATTCAAGCACTTGAGCGTTCAAGACTTCTAATCCTTGACCATTGCTTCTGCTCATTTCAAACGCCCTCTGGGCTCGCTTATATAGCAACTCTCCCCTAAAACCTCACCTAAAAATAGGTGAAAAAAGCCTGCGGTGTCAACTCCAGGTTAGTGTTTCTAGCTTGCTAAAAGATATTCCAATTTACCTGTGTTAAAATACACTCCTTTGTTTGGGGAAATTAATGGCCACTTACGATGTGTGTCATAGACACAACAATAAATTATCGGTGTACTCAAAGAGTACTGTTAAAATAAAAAGGAGTAGATGATTTATAGCGCTAACAATGCCTTGCTTTCCATTTGAGTACTTCGCTATAGGGTGTTTTAAACGTCGAATTTCCCTTGTTTCGAATTCAATGTAAACTTTGACACTGAAATTATTGTACCACATGTGGAATTCGACGTTTCAGTAAGGTTTTAGCCCCAGTCAGAGGCTAATCTGAGTATGCAACTCTTGTGAACAAAGCTGTTTATAAGAGGATCAATCGATTTGTGTCTCCAAGGTCTCGTCTATGTGACATATTTGACAACATGGCTGAATTTTGAAAGTCACGGAGATATCGTGAACCCCGTGGTGACATTTTTCATGCGAATGACTGTTAATGTAATGCTGAAACTTTACTTACTATCCTTACGTTGTGTTTGCTTTTTTTGTTGTTTTTATTTATTTGTCATTTTAGAATTTTTCTTATCATTTATAATAAGACAGTGTTGTTTATTCGACTTMCGTAGCATGCAATTTAGTGATATATAGAGGATCCATATGAAGAGGATATTGCATGGGCGCACGAAGATACGGATTTTATCATCGAGTATGTTGAAAAGATCCTCACGAGTGAGGGCATCAAATTGGAAGTAGCAAAGCAAATTATGTCGGAAAATACTTTATTTACTTCCAATAAAGAAAAACGTCGAATGTATGTTTTACTAGTGAAATAACAACTTTTCAAAAAGGGAGAAATATAGGTATAATTTCAATGATAAAATATAATAATCCTTGAATTTATTAATTGCATATGTCGAAATACTTAATATGAAATAGATCTAGACCAAGTTAAGCATCTTTTAATCTAAAAAACAACATTCAACTATTAAAACACCCATATATCAATATTGCATGATATCTGAACTGTGATAATATRTCCATAATTTCTCCCGCGGATGTGTTAATTTTCATTATCCATTTTTTTAGATCGACCCTTATAACTACTAGCCTATATAACAGCTGTACACATGTAACTACGAAAAATTGTATAATTTTCAAACTTGTAGATGTAGGGGATATCTGACAGACTGTTTGATATCAATTATCTAAGATAAATTGGTTTATAAGAAATTCATGTGGAGTTTGTTAATTATTTTTTGTAGAGCCGACATTTTTGCATTCCAATTCCATTTATCGACTAAAACGACTTCCAAGGTGCTAATAAAAGTTGTCAGCTGCCGTGAAGTAAAATCCGTAATGGAGACCACAAGACGATACAGCGTGAGATTACTTTACACTATACCAATCCAATATCACCATTGGTTAGAAGAGGAATGCTTAAGACATTAGCCTATATAGCATTGAGTACTGTAGTGGGAAATTATTCATCTTTGCGGTATTTCATCCGCGGTTACTGTGCAAACAGAAACTCTCTTCGAGAAATACAAAATATTTGCTTTGAGATTTCGGTCGAATTTGGTGGTATTATTGCAATGAAATTCCCGCCCAAAACTGACAGCCCATGAAGATTCCATAGAAAGACGAGTCAAATACATTTCTAAAAAGAATACGTTTATGGCTATTATCACGTTTTTTATCCATTGCGCCTTAACTGACAATGTTGTCACCAACAAACTGTTTCGTAAATCTGCTAAATAAATTTATTAGTTATTTTAAATTTGGATTGTTTATGGAAGAAAATCTATAAGAAAAATAACGTAGCTTTATATTACGATCTCCATGTTTAGTTCGAAATTTCGAATAAAATACAGAGAGTTAGAAATATATTCGGGTGTTATGAATCTTTCGATCGATGACTGAGCTTGGTTTTACGAGTGAAGAGGCGACATCGATTTCCTGGTTGATGATACGAATTTCCTATGCATTTTAAAATCGTTAGATATTRCGACACCACGTCTTTCTTCATATTATGATTCATCAGTCTTACTACAAACATTGCATATATCATATTTTTATATTTTTATACGGTACGCAAACTCACAAGCATTTACTGTAATATATATGAACCTCCTTATAAGAATTATATCACTCTAGATATCTATTGCTTGCTCGATTTCTTCAATTCTTATATAGTTTTGCTTCATTTTCGTTTTTTTGTTTTCGAATGGAAATCACTCTAGATATTTAGTGCTTGTTCGCTTTCTTTCTTTTCTTCTCCGTTTCTCCGTTTCTTTCTTTCTTAGTTTTATATAATATGGATTTCCTTTCAGTTATTGACTCCCAATTAGGCTCCCACGCACTCACAGTTTTATCTCGACAACAGGACCAAAATTACTAACACATGCAAGTTCATATTATTTAAAGTCAATTAARACTAATAAGCCTACATTACATTTGAGATCTTTGAGGTGCACAAATAATCAAACCTTGACTGTTTGGGTTTAAACACACGAGGTAAAGATATTTATTGGCTTGAGATATTAGCACCACGTTTATATTTGTCTTATATGCAGTCAAGAACATACACGTTCAGAGTATAAACAGTGTAAGAATAATAAAATTTATATAGCTTTTTTACCTACCAAAGACAATTTTGTTGACCTTCAACTATTCCTAAAGCTTGAACAGTCTGAAATACTCACGATATATTATATATAGATATATCGCGATGCACTGGAGGTATTCGAAGCTTGATGTTGTAAACAATGCTGTTGAGAAAATTTCACTTCACAGCAAATCTCCTTAGAGAAATTCAAATAATGTCCAACACACTTTCAATGCATGCTTAATTCAGTTCAATTCAAGTTGTCATTTAGAGGGACAAAAACTTAATTGTCTGACCGCGAGGTAACTAGGGATATCTATATTGAGACAATAAATCGAGACCATAGATACCCATGATTCCTCATTGGAGTGATCAAGCTTGGGATTTCCTGAAGGATTTAATACAATGTCTACTAGTTGATTGGATTAAATCCTTAAAACGATTGTTTTCTTAAGAACACTTGACAGGACTTCTACATATTTAAATCATAAAAAAATATATATATGTATATAAAGTACCCCTAAATGTCGTTCAGATTTTCTCCACGTATGTTTGGAGACTAAGCTGGCACCTTTCAGACTGTTCACAACGGAAATAGGAATTATAATAAAACAACGTCGTTAATATCAATTTMTTTTATGTTTCTTGTTTGCTTTAATAGTCGCAATACGATAGTCAGTGAAATGCTTTCAAACGGCAGTGCAAATTAGCCTTGAATTTTTACAGATCATTACGGGAAGGCTGGGYTATGTTATCGTAAAAAATGAGTGTGTTATGTTTATTTCTTTTTCTTCAATTTTTTTTTTCTTCGTGTATGTGTTTCGTTTTGTTTCGTTTTGTCGTGTTTTGTTTTGTACTTTTGATTTGTTTTCGTTTTGTTTTGCTTTACACGTTTGTTCATTTTTCTTTTTACTGTACAATTATTTTTTTTCTGAGCCGCTGCAAACTAATTATCAGAATTATCATTATCGGAATTTTAAAACGGACGCGTCTTCCCTTGACTTTCTAAGGTTACTAAAAGCGTTAATGCTTTTAACTTCTAATGTCTAAACTATRTTAGTGATCTACATTACAAGCAAAATTCCTGGTGTAGGTTTTTTATCGTAAAAACTATTTGCACCCGACCGCGTTGTGAAGTAATTATATATTTTTATGATAAATTACTTACAAGTAATTTTTCATTTTAGAAATTCTTAAATCCCGATTTTTTTTATCTTTTTTCCTGAACTTTTTTAAACTGTCCATTCATTTTCGTTCATCCAACAGCAAATATTAATAAATGGTATCCGCTGACCACAAACGTCTATCATTAGACCACATTACCTTATGCTACGTCTTTTTGAGATTATATATCATAATCAACCTACCAAATTACCCAACACATCTTCTAGTTGTGTGGATAACCGCAGCTAATTTTAACATGCTACAATCTTGGACAATACTTGACAATTTTTCGCTTGGGGATTACAAATACTGTATCGTGTGCATCAACTGAAAATATTCCCCTTCCCTCCCCTCCCTTCTGCATCAATGTTGTATGCAGGGGTTAATGAATGGACAACCAATGAAAAGAAAGCCACACAACATTGTATTAGGGGGAAGGGGGCACCCGAGGAAGGTTTTATAGACGAATAGTATGAGAAATGTTGTGCGTGCCTAAAATTGTTAACATTTTTGTCCAAGATTGTAGGTGTGTCCAGGTGGTTTAACACGTAAGTTGCATTATGGAATCTAAAAGTCAAACGTGATCCTCGGGATTCATAGTTCGATCTTAACCCATTCGCCTCCAATCCTCTCTCTACTATACACTGGCCTTAGTTATTAATAAGTGCTAAAAATAAAAATAAAAACAATTAAAAATAAAAATTGGCCAAACGTCATTTGTAAGAATAATTATTCGTGCTAAAAATGGGCAGTTCTAATTAAAAATATTTGATTAATATACTCCACGCGCCATGAAACTATATTGAATTTAATTATGAAAACATTTGAAGTTGATATAAAAGGCCTARTAATGTTTTTATTGATGTATTGCGGTTTGTTTAAGTATTGGGCACCATACTGAGTATCATAGTATAATCGAAACAGAATATGCCGATATTGGTACTATTCTTAGACCAAATCCGAAAATTCAAAAATTCATACATAATTAATGAGCTACTAGGCCAATAGAATGAGCCTATTTGGTCACATGCATGGACCTTTATAATTGATAATAAACACTCCTCATTAGTATTCTTTATATAGAGAATACTAATAAGGGTGACCTTTATCAGATATAAAGGTCCATCCCTAGCAAAGGTCTCAGCTTTGATACCTGATCATTGACCAATGCAGGATGTCATCAACCGATTTCAGTGAACAGCCAAAAGCGGTTCTATTTTACATTGTGCGTATTCAATGTGGGATGACAAGAGTGCTTTGTAAAGTGATTCGAGCATGATCACAAGTTTGCCCCATTTATCCCAAAACTTATTTTTACAGCAATTTCTCCAAGAATATTTTAAAACGGATTTGAGTTTCAAATTAGTGTTGGAGTTTTTGAGGTTCGTGTTTTAGACTATACATCCTTCATTTCGGCCGACTCCTTATCGATTTGTGTCAATGGAATAGAGTCAATACTACACTCATGCAAATCTTTAATTATAATTACTAGAGAGCAGACGGGAGTATAACTTTTTTTACGCAGAAACTAAAAATAAACTATATTGCTTAACATAACATTATCAATCATTCATTAGCTTGGGTATATATTTGATGCACCTTCTAAAAGGAAGATATAATATGAAAGATTACAGCAAGCTATTCTTTAATGCTTGATAAATATACATACGTCGTCAAAGAGTAGACGGTAGCGAACGTTAGGGGTCGTGGGATTTGTGGAAAATGTTGGTAGCTGTATACCTTGGGGGTTAAAGYTGTATAGCTATATACAAACCTAATTGCGCGTGAGCATTATAAAAAGGATGTACTTGCATGATATTATGTAATTTATAACATAGTTCTTTATAGCTGGATTGATGCAGAGGAATGGCATATTAGCTTGTATTTCAATGGTCACCATAGTAACCTTGCTATTCACTTGATTGGGCGATGCGTCACTTGAACACCAAAACCCAAAACAAAAAGCAAAAATAAATAAATGAAAGGTAAACATTTAAAGTAAAAATTAATTTGCACTTGAAAACTTTTTGCTTA